TCACGATTTAACTCCACTTGACCATTTTTTGTTGGGCCATTTAAAGAAACAGTATCTACGCCAATCCTCAGTTGAAGAGTTGCGGCAACGGACAGAAAATCCTTGTCAATCCATTTCCCTTGACTCTATCTTCTGAGCACCGGTGAAGAGTGGTTAATAAGAGCAAATCTTTGCAATTTTATGCAAGGCAGGAAGTTGTAACTTGAAATGTGATTAATAATTAACAAACCGGGGGGCGTCGGTGGCCGCAAGCACAAGGCGTTGACACGGCGCTCATCACTGTAAGGTAAAGGTCCCGGGTTCGAATTCAGCGGCCCTGCATTCGAACCTGACATACTTACAAACGGGCTTTTTATTTTCAAAAACACCGACACCCCGAGGGTTGATATCACCTCGCAAAAAAATAACAAACCAAATGATTTATTTCTCAAACTTTTTGCAATAACTTTGTCATTTTTTGAACAATTTAAAATCCGATTGCACCGTTGTATTCAGCGTAAAAAATCGTTTAACTTGATGTGCCTGGATGTATAGGGCCGTAATTGAAATTTCGAAGTTGAATTCGGCCCGAGGTACATTGTATAATTTTTCTAAAAAAGTAAAAATTTGAAACTAGACTTTTTTATAGCATCATTGGTTCAAGTGAAATTCAGACGGCCTATCTAACAAGGACACCCTGTATAATTTAATGCTGATTTTTGTTCTGATAGTTAAAATAGTTATATGGCCGTGTAAACCTTTTTAAATGTTCAATATATCTAATGATTTCTGAATAATTATCGATTAACGATCACTAATCACCACACATTTCTACACGAGAAGAACGAAGAACATGGGATTCTATTAACAAATTTCAACTACATATGGACACGCAGCTAAAAGTATTCTGAAGGACATCGCCAACAATGAGAAAAACTCGCATCGGCTTTCAACCAGAGAACTTTTTTGTTGAAATGCAGACAACACAAAGCCCTGAAGATGATCTCAATAAAGATCGAAATGTTGGTACGATAAAGAAAATGTTTTTCTGAAACCTACATCACACCAGACCGCATCTCACGATTTCTGAATAATTAGTTCAATATATTGTTTCTTTCTTTGTTGAAAATATAGTATGTTATCTATCTTTCTATCTAATATCATTAGCTGCTTCAGCTTCTATACATTTTTGTCTAATAATGTCTCCATGTTGATACAGTGCTCAACCAACGAGTATTTTAGAATTATTGTCTGACATTGAACAGAAATAACGTCCAGTTTTTACAATCCTTGTACACCCTATTAATCTGAGGGTGTTTACAATTTGTACACTAACGACCTTTCTTGTGTGTTTCACGTGAAGTTTCTAGTTTTTGTTGTTTTCTCTTAATAAATTTTTAACTTACACCTATCATTTCCCCTAACGCCCACTGGAAAGATTAATTCCATTTGAGTCTACTCTTTTTTAAAATGACCTAAGCCGCCTTTGTTAGAAAACAATATTGCGTCTTATTTTATTCCCAAGGCTAAAAAAATAGCTGGAATCTAAACATCTCAAGGGAAAATTAATTAGACGCTACATCCGAAGACGGGCAATAATTTTGCGGAAAGACGGACCTAAAGTGGATTAATGAAGATTAAGAGGAGGTGAAGGTCTTCGAAGAGTATTGCAACGAGGATTGATTTGAGAAATGAAAGAATCACCTCGGGGAACTTAAGTTCTAAAAGAGAGCCGTGACGTGACACCCCGTGACCTCATAAGGCGAATTTTAACACACGATTCCCATACATGAACAACGATCAAATCAAATCTGACTTCTCATCCGTTCCATTTTCATAGGTTTGTTCAATTTGTGCTTTTCTTTGTTTTTGACGTATTTTTGTTCCGAGGCTGTACGGTGTCGACCAACATGTAATTCTAATATAACTAGGAAATGAATAAGCATTACCATCCCACTTTTTGCCAAAAATCATTTAGATTCACAACTAAACACTAATATCGCACAGGTCTGAATATTGTCTGAACTCAGTGAAGCCATGTTTTAGACGTCTCTGAGGTGTTTGGGAAGAATAACATGAAGGGTAGACATACAGATAGAAGAATCCCCTTCTAATGCAGTACGGAGAACAAAGTATGTTGAGCTAAACTAAGAAAGGGTAGATTTCTGGAAGTTAATGAAAGTCAAAGCAGTACCCCAAGTGCTGTGTGGGTCCCATCCATCCCAAACGGTAATATTCAAACTATCCACCACAAGAGAACACAACAGCCACCTTTTCGGACGATACGGTAATTCTCACAGTGCTAAATGGAACGACATGTATCTAGAACAGGATAATAAAATATATAGGAATATCGAGGAATTTCTTGTAATGGAATGCAATAAGGACACCAAGATATAATGAATTATTCAAGTTGTGTAATATACTGCACCCTTTATGAGCTATTGTATCCCTCGTTCTGTTCTTACAGCATACCGGTGAGTTCTAATTCACCAAAGAATTTGATTAGCAGGCCCGGTTTAAGTGGCTGAATTTCTTCTACGGTCACATTGTACGTACCAAGGCATTTTCTCCTGCGGGCAAGTGTAGTGCCACTATTTTTTAATAGGTGCATTGATGTCTTCTCTGCAGAATCTGCATGTGCCGTCTTGGGTTTAACAATCTTCTTTAAATGTCCGTTTAGTTTGCAGTGTCCTGTTAGGTCGCAGTTTTTCCTGCTTCTGTTAATACATTTTATTACTTTTTTCCTTCTGAAATTTGTTAGGAGGTTCTTGGATTGTTTGCGCTCAATGAATGAGTTCCATTGTTCCCTCATTTTCTTTTTATCCTTCTGTGTGAGGTCTCATTGATAGTGTGGGTTCCTATGCCACAGAAGGTTTCAGGTCCTATCGGCGGTATAGCAGCCCCTTTTCTCTCAAGGTTGTCCGCTTTCTCGTTGCCTTCTATTCCCATATGTCCTGGGACCCAGCAGAGGCTGACTTTGTTCTGTGTTCCTAATATGTTTAATTTGGTTTTGCAGTTCAACACTATCTTTGAACTAACGATATTTGAGCTTAGTGCTTTGACAGCCGATTGGCTATCTTACATGATAGTTATGCTTTGTTTTTGTACCCTTTAGTCACGTTGAATTGAGTACATCTTTCAATGCGTAGACCTCAGCTTAGAAGATACTGTTGTATTTTCCAATGGGGTCTTAGAATTTGGTTCCAGGACCGAATACTTTTACCCCGTACCTTCGTGTTCTAGATCCATCTGTGTACCAAAAGACGGTGCCGTTTTTAAAGGAGGTGTTTTCCTCCCGTTTCCTTTCTTTTTTGGTACTTAAGTTCATTTGGAAGTTTTGATTAAATTTATCCTGTTCATGTCGAGCAATGAGTATCGGATGATCATTCATTATTCTGTTGTTATCTCTCCATTTTAGTTTTATATCTGTTGGAGGTTTCTATTTAATAATACTAATAATACTTTTCTGTTACTGTCCACACTATCATTTGGTGTAGGGGGATAATCCCAGTATATTTTCCATACCAACTGTGGGACATGTCCTCATTGCTCCCTGCAGTCTGCAGCGTCCTGTTAAGAATTGTCAAGATTCGATGTTTTTCCTGCTTCCTTCATGCATTCTATTATTTGTTTCCTTTTAAAATTTGCTAGAGGGTTCTTCGATGGTGGTATGTCCAATGAATGAATTCCATTATTTTCTCATTTTCATTTTGTCCTTTGATCAAAGTACTCTTTTATAGTGTGAATCCCTATGCCACAGAAGGGCTCAGACCTATCAGCGGTATAGCAGCCCCTTTCCTTGCCAGGGCGTCCGCTCTCTCATTGCTCTCTACTTCCACATGGATTTACCTATTTAGTTAAGTTTTGCAATTCAGTACCATTTTTAAACAAATGATGTTCGAACTTCGAAGTACTTTGACATGTTAGCTGCATTCTTATTTTTGTACCTTTTGTTCAGATTTAACTGGGTACACCTCGGAAGTGCATGCACTTCAGACTGGAAGATATTGGTGTATTTTCCCATGGGTTCTGAGTATTTGGCTCCAGGACCGAACCTGCCTAGACTCATCTGTGTACCAGTAGATGGTGTCATTCTTAAAGAGTCTCTCTCTCTATTTTTTCTCTCTTTTGCTTATTAATATCTTGGTACTCAGAATTGTTTGGACATGTTGCTTGAGCTCAAATACCCTGTTCTCTTGGGCCAAGCAATAACGACACCCAACTCGGTCAGATACCTTGAATGGCTCTAGACATCAAGCAAAATGGAATAAGTGTACCCAAGCAAAGAAATTAGTTTGATAAGCTTGCTTGAAAATTAGGAGAGAACGCCCAGCAAAACAAACTCTATATTTAAAACCAACCAGTATTACCCGGTGTGCCAAAAAGACTAACGTTCACAAACTTCCCAAGACTTACACCAGCATTTCTAATAAATCTAATATATTTGTCTCTCACTCGAGATAGTTTCTGTATATATAGATACACATTTTTCACGTGCTAAACATAATTTTCTCTTATTCGCCTCATCCATATTTATGCTTAAGCCTGCCCGTGGAAAACGAAAAATCTAATCAATTATAGATACAGCTTTTGTGGAATGTCATGAGTTTAATTACGTCGGATGATAGTTTACATGTACAACAGCCATTTTTAATTCCTCGGAACTATAAGTATGGTAATCGGGCCTCGAGTGGGATGGTCTCTAGGTCTCAAGAGAGGACCGGTCTTTATCCAAGGTCAGGGCAGGACAGGCGCTTCGCGGCAAAGTCTGTTAAGTCCTCCACGACTTGCACTTTTATAAAATGCCCGATTAGCAGTTTGAGATGGCAAGTTAAGAGAGAAAAAAGATATTACAACAAACGTGCGCCCACCCAAGAAGTAGACCTCCAAGCATGCTTGGTACAAAATTAACGTAAAGATTTTAAAAAAATACAATTGATCCTTTTTGTTTTATGCTGCAATCAAAAGTATGTTAATCACGTTTGGTTTTTACCTGTAATTTTTTTTCTTTGTTTCAGGGCTGAAGCTCCTACCTTTGCTCAATGAACTGAGGTAAGCCGAAATCAAAAATAGATATTTTAGAAACACTGGAAGAACGGTATGTTTATTTTTAGCGGTTCGTTTTTACTTGGAGATCTCGCTCGCTAAGAGAAAAGATATACCTCGCTTTATCTACGGCCTAGAAAAGGCCGATTACTTCTTATCTCGCTCCCATTCACTCCTTACTAAAGGAAATATAAATACCGTTGACACGTTTTCTCCTTGTTATCGAAAATTTGAAAAATAAGTTTAAAAATCGATTAGAAACAATAGGTATCAGTCAAGGTAAGTAAATACTTCAGAGATAAATCGGGAGATAAATATTAAATTTTAAACAAATTGTTTTGTTTTGGAAATAAAGAAGAAGAAATATAACTTTGTTCTTGGGACGGTCTTCGAATAATACAACGGTTTAACTGGATGGAAATTCCGCTAATCATAAAGTGCCAAATAGAACAGAGTGAAAACCCCATAAAAATCCTCGCGAAAAAAATAAAATGCAAATAAATGGATACAAATCAAGTAAACTGACAAACAGACTTAAAAAAAACTAAAATTAAAATATTACCCATTATTAAAATATTACCAGCTCCCCCAGGTGAACCTACAACCGTTCGAATTTTCCCTCGTTTGCCATTTTGGTGTCCGAGTGGATCTAAGTCACGATAGCTAAAGTGGTCAGAGCAGCGGCGTATTGAGCCAAAGGACGAGGGTTCGAATCCCGCTCGTGACACTAACTTTTTCATTTCAACCAAAACCTTACATAATTAATTGAAAGAAGCAATTTGGTCAATCAGACCAGTAAATATAATGGGTTTAATAAGTAAAACGAAGCATAATTTCACTAACAGCTCCCCGTGGCCACTTCATATGTCGCCGAGAATCGAATCCTGATTACAGGAAATTTGAAAAATGGCAAAAAGGAGGGAAAATTCGAACGGTTGTAGCTCAAGTGGTTAGAACAGTGGTGTATTGAGCCGAAGGTCAAGGGTTCGAATCACGCTCGTGACACTAACCTTTTCATTTCAACCAAAACCTTACATAAAATGATTTACTAATTAAAATATTACATTTTTTTTACAAATTTATGAAAACGACTATGTTTGAAAGGAGAGGAGGTGATTATACAGGAAGTATTTGAAGGAATTAAGAGATATGGCTTGATGAATAGAATGAGGAAGGGAGTTCCGGAGTTTGGGGGCGCAGGTCAGGAAGTATCTTTCGAAGGAGTGGGTTTTGAGTTGGGGGAGAATAAGGTCACTGGTTTTGCAGGGATGGTGTGAGGATTTGAATTGGAAGGATTGGATGATGTCCTCAGGACGACAGGTATGAATAGAATAAAAATGGAAGGATCCTAGGAAGTATTGAGACCTAAGGGAAGGAGAGAGCCAGGAAAGATCCGAATACAGATGAGACACCCGGGATCCACGGGGGTGCCGTACACGAATCTGCCACAGCAGTTCATGAGTTTCAGGCGTCTGCTCTGTCCCTCCGAGAGGCCCCCGGATGCGACACAACTTTAATCGAAGAAGGGATAAGTGAAGATTCTAGGAGTTTACGGGTGAAGAAGGTTAAGAGATGCCAGGACCGACGGAATAGTTTGAGGAAGGCTATAGCGGAGAATTTGGGAAATGTGAGGGTGCAGGAGAAGTTTTGATCTAGAATAATCCCAAGGTTTTTGACGGAGGTACGAAAGGGGATGGGCAGGTTATTTATAGTGAGAAGGGATATTGGGGAAAAGTCTGGATCCGATGATTATGGCCGAGGACGTAGGCGGATTGAGGTTGAGGCGATTTTTATGTGCCCATTAATGGGATTAAGGAAGTTCTGGATCTTTAGGTTGGCCAATTGTAGGTCTGAGGGATGGAAGGGTAGGTAAATTTGGGAGTCGTCTGCATAAAGGTGGTCATTACAGTAGTGGATGGAGTCGGAAAGATCGTTCATTTTTCATGATCCCCACCAGTGATTTAACCACCATAGGATCAAAATGACACAACGGGGCTTGCTGACGAACAAACAAATGTGTCTCACTACTCAAAGCATTCAACACGCCAGCTAATTCAACAGCAAAGTAACCAGCACCAACAACTGCAACTCGCTAGGTAAAGATGTTAATTGAAAAAACTACCTGAATCTATTCCATATTTCGCCCCAGGTATATCAGGCCAAGGAGGTTTGCCACCGGTAGCTGTACTAAAGAGGATGGGAGAGATGCTAGAGCCTTGGGGAACGCCATATTTTAATGAGAGGAAGAAGCATGTACGCCCGTTGGGAATAGTGACGGCTCGGAGACGATTGGTGAGATAGGAGTGGAACCAAGGGAGAAGTACTATTGGAGAAGGAATAGGATTCGAGTTTGGACAGGAGTGGGCTATGGAATCGAAGGCCGAAATGCGATGTAAAGCTGTTGTAAAATTGGTCGAGAAACAGTAGGTTCGTCACACAGAAGACCTCAACAAGAAATCCAACATTTTCTAGTTTTTCTACATGATATTCATTTGCAAAGAAAAAGAAAAGCCCATGTTACGACCTAATCATTCCCCTCATCCTATCCCAACTACTTAAAAAAGCCATTATCTTTACAACGTACCTATTCAACACTGTCCTACGTACAACCCATTTCCCGACCTGTTGGAAATTTTCTTTCATCAGGATGCTCCCAAAACCTAAGAAACCAAATCACCTTCCTATATCCTACCGACCCATCGGTCTTTTGCCCATTATTGGCAAATTACTGTAAAAGCTCCTATTGATCCGCTTGTCCAAGGGAAGTCCTACAAACACAATTCCTCATCACCTATTCGGCTTTCGGAGTTGCCACTCAACTGCACAACAAGCACATCGCATAATCGAAGTTATTTCCACATTCCTTGAGCTTAAACAGTATTTCCCGGGTGTGTTCTTGAATATACACCAGGCCTTTGACTGAGTATGGCACTCTGGGCTGCTGTGGAAGCTCAAGAACATCTTACCAGCAGCCTATTATCTTATCCTAAAATCCTATCTTAACGATCGTTACGTCCAAGTATCCCACAGAAATTCAAAGGTCTCCTATCCATCGTATTCTAGCAGGTGTCTCACAGGGCAGCGTGCTCGCTCCTTTCCTTTACTCAATTTATACCTCCGACCTACCTACGCAACCTAAATTAATCATCTTCACCTTTGCCGATGATACCGCAATCCTTTCTCCTGATAAAGATCCAGTCACAACTCCCCGTGATCTCCAAAATCACCTACACATCTTAGAATGTTGGATCGGAGAGTGGAGAAGCAAGATCAAGGAAACCAAATCAACAAACATAATATTTACCCTAAACAAGAAAACGCTCCCACCAGTATACCTCAACAAAGTTCCCATCCCAATTGCGAACTATGTACGATACCTCGGACTCTACCTGGACAAACGACTTACGTGGAACCCCCATACACGACTTATGCGCACAGACTGTAACATACGATTTTTCATGCTTAAACTACTCGACAGACAATCAAAACTCTCACTAACAAACAAAAGAAAACTTTACATTGCCAACCCCATTTGGACATATGGACTTCACCTTTACGGGACTGCTAAGCGTTCCAACCTCAATCGAATCTTATCACTTCAATCCAAAATCCCCAGAACAATAGTCAACGCCCCTTTCTATGCATACAATCACACCATCCATACCGACGTAAATGTCCCTCTTGTTACCGAACTAGCCCATTTCGCTCATCGTATTGATGTACTAACGGCTACCATCACTGGATAGTACCTGTTCAAGCTTTCATGCTACTGTTATTATTACATCTATTAGGTTTCGTGGTTTGATTGACCAAATAAATTCTTTTCTATTAATTAATCTTTAATAAAGGTTTTGGTTGAGTTAAAAAAGTCAATGACACGAGCGGGATTCGAACCCACGACATTCAGCTAAAAACGCCATTTGGCGTTTAGATTCCCTTCAGTTAAAATCGTATTTTTAATGGAAAAGTCATGGATTTTAATTGATAAGTCTTTGATTGGCGAATTTTGGATCTGTTTTGCCGACTTTCGCGGTGAGTCCTTCTACGTAAACAGGCATCGTGCCTATCACGGAAAAGTTGAGTACTGGTACATCTCAGCCCATTCGAGCCTCTGTATACCGTCTCATAAACCCATTTTCGTAAATATTTATAAAGCCATAATGGAAAGATGGAATGTTTAGATCTATAACCGAAACCGGCTCTAATAATAGTCGGCGGAATGCGTCGAGATGAATGAAACGCCCCGAATAGAACGCGGACGCCGGGATTGAGACGTCCCCTTTGAAACTAGAAAATACACTGTTTTCATATAAAAACCGGTCGTCTTCAGGCGTATCTTTTCGAACCCCCTTTGCAAAACGAAAGCCGACCTTTTCAACTCGGTCGATTGATAAGAAAACAAAAAATAAAATAAAAATAAAAACGTTTCCGGGCTCGTTTTAATCTCTCGGCATGAAGGGAACGTCTGAAGAGTTCATTCGGTTCATCCGGCCGTCTGTGACGACCGATCGATAGATAACTCACTCCCGACAAAGTCGTTAAAATTAGAAAATTGGGAGAATTGAATTACATTGCATTTATTTTATAAATTAATAAGTAGTACTCTAAATATTTACAAAGATTTTTTTTATTACCATCTGTACAAATTATATACATTATATTTATATATTATAATTATATTATATTACCATTGTACAATGAGATATAATCTTAGGAGGACCAGCAACCATTACTGTTATATGGTATACTATTACAATTAAACGCTTTATAAAAAATATTACGCTGGTGCAAAAATAATGCAAGTTTTGAAAAAGCGGTCATAATTATTTTTAATTTTTATAAAATAAAGAAAATTTATTCGAAATAATTTCCGTCACAATCTGTACATCTGATTCAACGTGTAATAAGCGCTTTTATTCCGCTGACAAAAAAATCTCTATTTCGACTCAAAATAAAGTCTTGGATGGCGTTTTCGGCTTTACCGCATTCTCTAAAAATGCTATCCCTCAAGAAGTGATCAAAATGACCAAAAAATGGAATCCTTGCACCTTGAACATGGTGATAAATGCATTAAGAAATATAACAGATTTTGATCTACCTCCCATTTTAAATATGTACATAAATAATATTAAACGTCCAAATAATTAAATTAATTATTTTAATTGTTATTATTTTTATAGTAATTTAATAATATTAAGGTATCATTCTAATTTGCTATCTTTTATCTTTAATCACTAATTTATAATTAATTTCTTACAGTATTTACTGTTATAATATTTATTTGTGTTATAATTTCCGCGTTTCACACGTTCAAATTGAGCGCCATTAAAAAACCAGCTGCTAATTGGAACGTCGCGTTGGCGGAGGTATCAGCGGGTTCACTTTTGCAATTCATGTCGGGAGACGTGGTTGTAGAAATCCTTCAACCTGATGATGAGCAGAAGGGCTCGAAATCCGGATCGTTCCAAAACAACTTACTGTGAATAGGAACCATCTTTTTAAAAAGGATTGGTAGTTAGTATATGTCAGTTCCGGGTTAGGCGAAGTCGAGATAGAACCCAAGTCAGTTTTTGGTTTATCATTTTGGAATATTTTATGATGGGTTTAGTTTTGAAGGGTAAAAGTAAATGGGTTCTTTTGCTCCATTTATCTTAAGGGGCCAAAATTTGCTCCATTCGGCTATTCGCAATCTGGAGGGTCTGGAACTCCTCCGAAGCGATAGTGGAGGGAGTAAGCATCGCTGTGTCGGGAAAGGAAGCTACGAGAGCAAAGGATGCAGTCTGGATATCTGAAGTAAATATGAGGTACACGACTGGTCCGAGCACACTGCCTTGTTGCACTCCCACTCTCAGAGGGAAGTAGTCCGATCTTGGCGAACTTAGAAGACTCGTTCTGGTAGGAAGAAGCGAAGAATAGGGACATAATTTGTACAAGAAATTGCTACACGCTTGTGTCAAGAAAAGCACCCATGCAGTATTGTTTTCGCCAAGGGATGAGGATATGTGGTCCGCAACGCGACGCATCAGCTAGGGCTTTTACAAAAATTAAAAAAATGAAGTATAAATAATGCAAATATAATTAACAAACAACTCAAAAACAAATAACAATAACAGCCTTTCCTTTCAAAAACAAATAAATAAACAGACAAAATGGACTCTAATTGTGAATGCAGGATCTCGAGGAAATTTTATTATTAAAAATTCGTAAGCTATACTCAAAAGAATAGCCGTAAATTAATCATACAATCAAAATACCAAATATTACGTTTAGATTAGGGTTTGATGTATGGACAAGTTGAAATTGTCAGCTCAAAGAATGGAAATGTGTCACAGTTCTGATCGGATATTGAGCGCAAACAGAAGTTTCGCCCTTTGGCAGATAAATATTTCCATCACGACGAATTCAAAAGGAGTTGACGTTGTGCGTATTTGTCTGACCCAATATCTAAGGCTTTTGTTTGATCAAATTAAGTTTTTGCCGCGATTTAATCTATCTGGCGCAATTTTCCAAACTTGGGTTGTAAATTTTGAAAAGCCTTATCTATTGGGTAATAAGCACAGATAAAGTGTTATTTGCACTTTCGAAGTGTTATGAACAGTGAACAGTGAAGATGATAATTTTTAAGATAAGATAGATCGGAATAATGCGTTTACTGCTTGGTTTCAAGTGATTGTTATCCTACCGCAGACAGACAGCTTGGGGACGTTTTCAAAATCTTCCTCTCTACCTCAAACTGAACATTTGCCCCGCAATTGTTTAAATTGAGAAAACCAAAGTTTTATTTTTAATTTCCGTCTATTTAAACATGGTCCTTTTATTGATTAGATGATTTTAGCTTGGGATTTAAAATATCGGGATTTGGCAAGCTCTAGGTACTAGGACATAGGTCAGTGTGATTATTCCAATATATTGGGCTGTTTCACATGAAATGTCCGATGTTATAGTTTCAGAAATTCAAAGAGGAAATAGCTGTTTTCTGTCGTTTACTTCCAAATTTTTTCCAATTGTTTACATATTATAATTAAGCAGTTATTAATCCTCCACTTTTGTATGTAATGATGAACTCCCCAATCTATTACACACTTTTTAGTACACCTCCAAATAAGAACATAGAAACACGCGATTTTCGTGTAATATTCCTTTTCGGGTTTAAACTCGGCCATTAGACGGCTGAGGCTGCAAGAAACATCAGTAAGTCGTTTGGGGAAGGGACTATAAAGGAACGGATCAATCGCCGTCGGCTCGCTAAGTTTTCGGAAGGGAATACCGAATTGGAAAAAGAGCCCCGCGGAAGACCCTCGAACTTTAATAGACAACTATGTCCTTAAGTTTCAAGTGAAAGAAAACCACTATCCAACAGTCAGAGGACTCGCAGCACAACTAAATGCAAGTGCAACTACCCTGTCAAGACAATTAAGGAACAGGTAAAATCAGAAAGCTTGATCTTTGGATCCCTCATGAGCTCACTGAGCGAGAGGAGTTAAAGCTCCTTGTGACAGACATGCGTTTCGTTTCCCGCCATGCATAAAAACGGGCCTTTTCTTGAAAGCGTAATCACTTGCGATGAAAAATGGATTGCACATGACAATCAGCGTCGGTCAGGGTAGTGGTTAAACATCGACGAAAAACCAGGACACATGCCAAAACCAAATTTGCACCCAAAGAAATAGATGATGGGCCATGGCTGGAATTATTCACTAATCCTTTTTGCCTAGAGGTGAGACCATTACTTATACATCGTACTGCATGGAAATTGAACGAAATGCATAAAAAATTATTCAAAAAAACAATCTGCATTGATAAATCGGAAAGGTCCTATACTCCTCCACGACATCGCCAGGCCTCATGTTTTAAAACATGCTGTAAACAAGCTGAAAGAGCTTGGCTACGAAGTTCTTCAGCATCCACCTTATTCTCCAGACTTGTCTCCAACACATTTTCACCTGTTTAAGAATTTAGACAACTTCGTAGGAAGGAAAAATTGTTGAAAATGATGTTCAAGTCCAAAAAGCATTTTTTAGACTTTGTTTCATTTCAAAGCTCAGAATTCTTCAGTTCTGGCATAAAAAAAAGTTGGTCACGCTTCCCAACGCGGGAAAAATGTGCAGAAAATGACGGTAAATACTTCGAATAATATTATTTTGTTTTTATATAGTAATTTTACTAAACAACCTTTACCTTGCAAAGTGGAGACGGACATTACGTATGAAACAATCCAATATTATATAATATAATATTTCCTATTATATCGAGACAAAGGTTCAAGCTGTTTGCTGTTCTAAATTCTAGTCATAAGTCTATATGTTTTAGTCGAATCATTTGGTTACAGTTTAATTAACTGAGATATGTCTAGGTGTTCTAATTAGTCTAATTAGATTTGTTGTGGAAGTAGGAATATAGTTGATATAGACTGGCGGATGGGTTTTTCAGTTTAAGGTAGCATTTAACCACAATCGAGCGCAATGCTGTGGTTCAAGGTTGTGAAGATGTTACAATTAATTAAGGAATTTTAGTTGAGACGAAAAAAAGTCAATGGCACGAGCGGGATTCGAACCCACGATCTTCGGCTAGATACGCCGCTGCTCTACCACTTGAGCTATCGTGACCTCGGTTCACTCGGACATCAACTTCTATCTCAACCCCACCTTATGAGTTTTCCCTCCTTTTTGCCATTTTTCAAAGTTGTGAAGATGTTGGAGTGATGTCGTGACAGGACCATTGTTGGGATAGAAGAGAGCCGTGCGATAACTCCTTGAACAACGCCAGAGTGAATAGTGCGTTATGATTATATGAGGAACCTTGGACAATCAGGTCTGTGGATGAGGTAATAGGTAGGAGATGCATTCCTTCGAGTTTCCATTTTCATAGCAGTTGGAATGCTGGTGAGATGTCGAGGAAGATATCGGATCAATGGTATTTCGACTGAAGAATGGTAGTGATGGTCTTAGCATATGTTGAAATCGTAATGTCGGAAACTAAACAAATGGAAGCTTTTTGAAATTTGATTATTTTTTCATTCACCGACAGAAACGATGAAAGCAAAATGAGTTCCTTTTTAAATTGGGTCCTTCGAGATATTTTGCTGAGAAATTGGTGTTAACATGGAATAACGTTATTTTCTATTCAGTGAAGCTTAAAATTATTTGTCAATAATTATAGTCAATATAAATTTAAATTCTTTGATTTCCATCGTAATAGAGATATCATTTGCATTTGAAAATCTGTCTTTTGCCTATGCTACAATAAATGTAATGGTTCACGATTGTACAAGTTCACCAGAAATGTTTTTGAAAACTGTGTTTAATTTAGAATATCAAACCAAAATTATTTGCCTTTTCTCCTTTTGTCTTTCAGCGTCGATAAGTTTTCCTGGTTGGAGATGAACTCATCTGAAAACTTTTCCCTCGGGATATCGCTGTCGGATTTTTCCGACTTGAGTTGGCTCTCCGGCTCGCTTTTTTCCGCAGTCTGAAATTTAATAAATGTGATCGTTTTTACATCTTTTGAAACAAGTTTCACAAAAACAATTACATTTGCTGGAGGCTCCGGCGTTACTTTGTCAATTTCCAATTTCGGCCTTTTTTCTGGAGGCATGCGTTCCCTTTCGCCGTCATCTCCGTTCTCAGGCTTGTTTTCTTTCTTTCGGCACTCTGCACAAACCCAGGGACTTTTTCGCTTTGTGCTGCTCTTTTCATCGGCATTGGAGCGTTTACGACGTGGCATTTCGGCCACAATTTACTTTCAAATTTCGTCTTTATTCCAATTCAGTGATATTGTCACCTGATTGACTTCGAAAGAGATTAATCTAGGCAAAATGTTTCTACTTTACTAGATTAAATAAAATTTTTTCTCTATCACCTTTAACACTAAAGTTTTTTCTCCTTTATTATAATGTAAATACACTGAACTTTCACGAACAGCAAACACTTCCCTGTTCGCTCCAGTTCATCCTCGAATTCGGCATTTAGCCGTTTCAAATTTGTTTCCGACCGGTTCGACGGTTCATTTTAGTTTTTAGACAGTGCAAATCATGTCTGTGAATCGCTATTCATTCATGTCGGTCGATTTATACACTTCCAGTCGTCAAGTGTTTCCATGTTCGTCTTTTCAGACGTCACGACCAACTCGCAGGCCGTCCGACAAGGCCTCACGATCACAAATGCTGTTAAAATTGAAAACAGATGTTTTAAAAGCAATGTTAACAAAGAAAGAAACGTTTCTCAGAATAATTTTTAAAACTGACCGAACTAAACATATTGGCACAGACAATCAAAATGTTTTCTGGCAAATTGAATTAAACCATCGAAAAAACTGCAACTTCCACATAATATTTGCATAGAATACTTTGACAGAAACCAGAAAAGAGTAAAAGTGTCATACGGGAGGGTAGAAAAATGGTCTTAATTCATCTTACTGACAAGTAGTACCAAAATCCTGTACCTCAAGGCCTTGGGTGTCTATAATAATTAATAAATAAAATTTTAAAAAACTAGCCTCGATCGCCCGCTGTTCTGCAAAGCGTAGAGGTTTAGACGTAATAGACAGTCTTAAATTGAAACTACTTTCGCTGCGGCTTCCTTTGACGACAAATAAGGATAAAAAGTAAAAATCAAACCATCCGCGCACACTCCGGGTATTTTATCGATAGTTTCTGCATCGGACAAGTTTAACGTCCTTCGGCTACCATTTGAGAAGAGTCGGCCTCAAATCGTTTCCTTCTTGAACCGGTAGCAAAAAAAAGAAAGGAAGACGAAACACATTTTCCGCAACATTGGTAGTTCAACTGATGTTACATTAACGATAAAATCATTTATTACTTAACCTTAATGATGACATAATTTATTGTTGGGGTTGCTATTAAAATGGATATAGATTTAAAAGAATAACTTGTTTCGGATAAACATAAATATATGACAATTTTAATTGTTTGATGGTGATGACAACGTTGGACACTATGAAATGCGGAGGGGTTGTTCCCAAAGCACTACAACCTTTGGCTTGTACTTTCCTAGTTCCTTAGTTCAGTGCAATCGATTCGTTCCTTCTCTTAAGTAGTACTAGGTACTGACTGTCCTAACAATTCGTCTCCCTGGGATTTCTTTGTATCCCAAGTTATGTCTTTATTGAGTGGGTTGCTTCGCATTCGAAGGTTATATATATGGCTGTTTCTTACTTCTCAGTACATAATCTATACATGGGGTCATTGAATGTACTCATCTCGCGTAAAAGTTTCTTAGTTCTATCACATCGCTGACTTTATCCCTCTCTAATTGTAGCACAGAATCTGCCAACTTTGGTGAGGGTTCTTTTAGTATAACCTATCTAAGGTTCTCTCACGAGAATGAATTGAATGAGAGGGAATGAATTGCGATTCCCAGACAAAGAAAATTTTGCACTATTTAAAGACGAAAACAAATTGGAAAAATAGCTAGATGCCGAATGCGACTCACGGAGCGCGGACAGGCGTACCAGGATCAACAAGAGCGAAGAGAGAAGAGGGCAGTTTGCTCTTCGTGAAAGCATAGTGTATTTACGTTATTAAATTAAACAGAAAAAACTTTAGCGTTAAAGGTGATAAAGAAAAAATTTCATTTAATCTAGTTAAGTAGAAGCGTTTTGCCTAAATGCCCTAGAGGCCTAGATGGATCTCCATCTAAGTCAATAAGGTGACAATATCACGGAATAAAGCCGAAATATGAAAGGCAAATTACGGCCGAAATGGCGCATCGTAAACGCTCCAATACCGATCAAAAGAGAAGCACAAAACGACAAAGTCCCTGGGTAAGTGCAGACTGATAAAAGGAAGAAACTAAGCCTGAGAAGATGACGGTGGAAGAGAGCGCGTGCCTCCAGAAAAAAGGCCGAAATTGTAAATAGAAAAAATGACACCGGGGCCTCCAACAAATGTAATTTTTTGTGTTAAACTTTTTGAAAAAAATGTAAAAACGATCTCATTTATTAAATTTCAGACTGCGGATAAAAAATCGAGCCGGAGAGCCAACACAATCGGAAAAAACCTACAGCGATATCCCGAGAAAAGTTTTCACATGAGTTAACCTCCAACCAGGAAAACATCGACGCTGAAAAACAAAAGGAGAAAAGGCATATAATTTTGGTTTGATCTTCTAAATTAAACACAATTTTCAAAAAACTCTTCTGGTGAACGTGAAAAATCATTTTGGGCGAACCATTAAATTTATTGTCGTATTATTCAGAAGACAGATTTTCAAATGCTAATGATTTCTCTTTTACGATGGAAATCTAAGAACATCCTGTAAATTTATATTGACTATGCTTGTTGACAGATAATTGTATAGACAATAACGTTATTCCACGTGTAACACCAATTTCTCAACCAAATATCTGGAAGGTCCCAATTTAATTAGAAAGGAACTCATTTTGCTTTCACTGCTTCGGTTGGTTATAAAAACACTTTCTTGACTGAAAAAAATCAAATTTCAAAAAGTTTCCACTTGTTTAGTTTCTGACATTACTACTTTGCCGTATGCTAAGCCCGTCACCACCACTCTTCAGTTGAAAAAGCATTCATCCGATATCTTCCTCGACACCTTACAAGCACTCGACCTGGAATGCACATGGAAACTCGAAGGAATAGCTCTACTACCTAATATAAATTAGGATAGACGGAAATTTTTATAAATTTTTCATCAACGACCCTTAACACACACACACCACAAAACATATAAATCATATCTATATTAAAAAACCCACGACCTCCAAAAAGCGGACCCAGAAAATTGCAACTGTCCCCGAGAGCGACTCTTAAATTTTGCGGCATGCCTACACGCTCTCTGTAAAGTGCTAAGTCATGTCAAGCTTCTGTCACTTGAGACACATCCAGCAACCTTTAATTGCATAGGTCACCTGCACTGGCTTTGGCTCAGGAGCAGGTGTCCCGGTGTCTGTCTCGTATGACTTATTCTTAATCATTAAGGACGATTTATCGGCTCAGCTGGTGGGCCTTCTTTTTTTATATAAAGATACAAATATAAACAAAGAAATAAAAAAAGAGCTTGTTTGATTACGATTATTAGGTATAAAATATATTTAAAACCATTATATTTCGTGGTCCGATTGACCAAATAACTTCTTTCAATTAATTAATCTTTATGTAAATTATTGGTTGAAATGAAAAACTTAGTGTCACGAGAGGGATTCGAACCTACGACCTTCGGCTAAATACGCCACTGCTCTACCACTTATCGTGACTTCGATCCACTCGGACACCAACTTCCCATCTCAACCTACTTTCGAATTTTCCCTCCTTTTTGCCATTTTTAAAATGTCGTGTAATCAGGATACGATTCTCGGCGACAAATGAAATGGCCACGGAAAGCTTTAGTGAATATATATTTTGTTTTACTTATTAAATCCAGTATATTTCGTCGTCTGATTGACTAAAGCTCTGAAAAATGGCAAAAAGGAGGGAAAATTCGAAAGGTAGATTGAGATGGGAAGTTGGTGTCCGAGTGGATCGAAGTCACAATAGCTCAAGTGGTTGGTTAGAGTAGAGAAGTATTGAGCCGAAGGTCGTGGGTTCGAATCCCGCTCGCGACATTAACTTTTTCATTTCAACCCATACCTTATATAAAGATTAATATATTTAAAACGTTCATAAAGTTTCGAAATAGGCTGGAAATTTGGTTTTACTGTATGGAAAATAATGCAGATAAGGGAAAAGAAGTACATCTAGGATAACTGTGAGAAATAGTTTCTGAAGAAACAATAGCAACTTTATTTCTGGCTAAAGAATCATTTAAATTGTGTATTATGTAATATGTACATACTCAATACAAATTTTAAAATCACCTTAGCCCTTATGACTTTCCATTGCCACTTTTTTTTATGTATGGACAGATATATATTTTTTAATAGTATTTCAAGGTGCAGAAATATTTTGTTTCCCGGTTTTATCAAGTTTTGGACTGGCTTGGCGATCCCGTCCCACGTTTCTATAAATACTCAAAAGGATCTCTCTCTGTAACCCGTGGAGGTGTGACTCCAGGCCCATTCTGGAACTTGTCCAGATATATATCTTAGTATACAAAAATTACTTCTATTAAAAACAAAATTCCATCCCAACAGTCTAAGTGTCCGCCTCATTCAGATTCCGTCCCTCTATCATCGGAACTAAAACCAAATACAATTTTAGTTAACTTGAATCAATAAAATTTCAATATTTCTCTTCCTGTTACATGTTCGTGTTTTCCTGATTTTTTAATGTATTGATAAACCTCCCATCCTGTATTTTATTGACCAATGTTATTAGTAATGTTTTAATGTAACATGTCACTCCTATCATGTGCCTTTAAGGAGTTTATCCTTAACGACGTAAGGAAGAAGACTTAAGCGGCCCCTACAGGATCGATATTATTGGCAATATCAGTATTGTCAATACAGTCGTTTACTCCTTGAAAACCACCGTTAATATTGTCTACCCTCCACGGTCAATACTATTTTCAATAATTGTATCAATAAATGTGCTCAGTACGTTTGTTTCCACCATCCGGACAAGTGAATTTTCGTGGCGTCCTGTGTTTTGAAAAAAATGGAGTATCGCACAAAAAATGTTGTGTGGCCATAATTACGGCTTCGTCGAGTTCAGCGATGGATGAAAGAGTGGTTGAAGAATCATGAAGAATATTTTCATATGAGGCTGCTGAGGGAAATCAGATGGTGGAATCACTCTTGGGAAGGCAGAACACAAACATGAGGGAATGCATCCCTGTTAATGAGAGATTGGACTTAACCCTGGAAGAAACTTTGAAGATTTGAAGTTCTCAGTCACCATGTCGTCGGCAACTATCGCGAATCTACAATTGAAACGTGTGAAACTCAAATTGCTCAATAAAGGTCCGTAGGGCAGCGGCCCTTACACGATCAATAATATTGACAATACTAGTATGATATTGACAATAATATTGATCATGTAAGGTCGAGAAAAAAGAGTATTGACGGTCGATATTGATGAAATCCATATTTTTTGATCTCGAGGC